AATCTGGGTTCCATTACACTTTGTGATTGCCCTAGTAAAAGCCACATCATTTTAATGACAAAGGTTTGCCAAGTAGCAGATAATGAAAGCTATAAAATACATTCATCACATTATTAATTTCACATTGCTTTTCTGGCAATCATTATGTTTGATTTTTTGATCTGTTTTTGACTAAGTTAAATGATGTGAATGTTAACGTTCATACAGAAATGAGTAGTAGGATGAGAAGCCAGTCCTTAAAAATCCTAGAGCAGCTTTTTTTTCTTTATAGCATTCTCAGTGCCTAAAGATATCAGTGCTTTGTCAAATTGATGATACATGCAAGTAGATAATTCAATATAGATGGTACATGCAAGTAGATGTTCTGTACAGTAATGTAGATTGTTAGCACAGTTGGACTTTTTTGTAGATAGTATAATTTATACTATTATAATAGTATAATATGTTTCATAATATTTATTTTTTGTAATGGTTATTATTAACTCCTTAAATTAAAAGAGTAACTCCTTAATTTAAGAGTAAAAACATTCACTGTAACACTTTAGAAAGCAGCAGATAATAAGTTCTCATTAGCAATTTATCAACACATCAGATATATTGCTATGAACATGCTTTAAAAAGCTGCTGTTTGGCATCTTCTAGCGTCTTACCTTCACTGCTTTTATTATGTGAAATTTGCAGAAAAAAAGTGACTGTCTTTTTTCCTCCTAACTAGTATGAAGAGTATTTACCAGTGCCTGTGCCACCTCCCCCAATACCACCTCTGCCTCCTGAAGAGCCACCTTTGCCCGAAGAGGAAGAAGAGCCAGTATCTAGTGGGGAGGAATCAGAATATGAAAGTGATAGTGAGGAAAAAGAGAGGTACGTTTTTTAATTATTATTTGTAAGTTGTTGACTCCTTTAAGGCTGTGTTTTCATTCCAGATTTGCCAGTGGTGGAGTTCCTTCTCATTTTTTCAGTATATAATTAATCTCTCCAGGCTCTTAAAGAAACTTCAGGGTGCCTAAAAAAATATACAAAGTCAATGTTGTTTTTGATGTCAGTAATAGGAAGAAAATGGTCACAGTGTACCAAAACCTACTGTCTATTTCTGTGTGAAGAAAGAACATAAATTCAGAATGAGCCAGAGTAATGGAAGTAATTGTCAGATCATTTTCTGGATTTAATTTGGTTTTCCACGTCTTGCTTGAGTAGGTAGCCTGTGACTTTCAGGCTGACTGATAAGTTCATACTCTTTCAAAATGTTCTTTCTCCATCAGCGTGTAGTGTAGTAATAAGAATGGGTGGTTGTATCTTCTGAGCATTTGCCAACAGTTTGGGGATGCTGCATGTACTGAATTACAGCGTAGCTGATTTCTCAGCTTTAAACTGGTACTAGATAAGGAAATAATTTTCTGCATCTAATATTTAAA